CACACCATATAGTTAAAAAAAAAGAAAAAAAACTTTTCAAGACCTATTTTTTTTAGCAGATTTTGATAAAGACTACTTTGGAAGATTGTAAACTATGAAGAAACAACAGATTTTTTTTGTGCCAGATTTTTGCTTTTCCACTTCAATCAAATCTTAGAAGCAACAGTTTCTCACATTATACAATTCCCTTTATGGATGGATGGATGGATGGATGGATGGATGGATGGATGGATGGATGGATGGATGGATGGATGGATGGATGGATGGATGGATGGATGGACATTTCTCCACTGTGAGATCAGTAAAGTCATTTAATCAAGTCAATCAATCAATAAATGCAACTTTTAACCAGCCATATAGGAAATTAGGAACCCAAATATTTTTTCCAGACACTTGTTTCATCCCATATCTATAAACAGGGTCGAATCACTTCTATTTGCAGATAGAACCACTACTTCATTTCAATGGAAGATCTACAAAACTTGATGTTGAAGCCTGATGTGTGCAGAGACTGTGTTGAATTTACATCATGAGCAAGAAGAAACACAAGCAGCTTCTTTCTGCAGACCTTTCTTTCCTCCTCCGGTCAGTTTGTTAAAGAAATTTAGTAAATTATTACATTCCGAAAACATATTTCCGTCACTAAAAGGCTGACTGCTTTTCAGCAATAGCTTAGTAGACCATCATGTAATACTATTAACCTCCACACACACACACAGCACACTCAGCCCACACGTCCCCCTGGTGAGAAACAGATGAGAGCGAAAGGAACAAATCCAAGTGGAAATACGCAGGAACAACTCTTAGCGCCTGTTCTCTGCTCCTGGCTCTGCTGCTCGTCCGTAGGAGGAAGAGGAGGATTTAATGCATGTTGTGGTTTCATTCCTCACACACCTTGTTTTGACATTTTACGGACAGCTGCTTTCGGAAAACAAAACCTAGCATGTGAAGGTGGGAGGTGGCAGATGAGAAAGAGAATGGGGAAAAAATGCTGCACGCATTCAAACCGACGCCTCTTCAAACAGAGCATCAGAAAAAAGGCCGGACTCCTTCCTGCTCCCTGCCACCTTCCTCTACCTGCTGTCCCCAGCCGATCCCCGGGAAAACTTGGCGGCAGATGTTGCTGCGCTAAGCTGGCTCTGAAGTGCCTCCCCGGCTCCCTGCTCTCACCCACAACACAGTCAAACCACATTAGATCTCTTTATTTGTGCCTGGGGCAAGTTCGACACTGCAGCTGTGTCCACCCCCGCTCTACCTTTGGTGTCGGAGGCCCTCGGGCTCTAAATGTGAGACCATGGAAAAAATATATATATAAATGAAAAAAAGGGTTTCACTCT